GATCTGTATATAAATTCTTCTCCCTTTTTTATATATTTGATATATAAATGTAGTAATAAGTAAGGAACTGCATTTACATTATAATCTTTTAAAGAGGTATTTTCCTTCAAGCAAGCTCCTGCTTACACTACATTAATTTTAATATTCAAGCATGGAAGACTTTTTTTCTCCTTTGTTGTTTTAATCTCGGGACCAAAACAATTCCAATAATAGAACGTCAACATTAATTTGAGAGGTGATGAAAAATGCCTTAATAACACTGGAGCAGAATTAATATTGTATCATAGATCATGAAGCCATAAAACTTTTGACAAATTCATTTTTGTGTCACTGTATATCCTTGCTAATAGGGCAGGGTACATCTGAGGGTCTGCTAAATACCTTTTCTGTTCAGTTCAATATCACCTTAAACAGCAAAAAGAAAAAGCAGCCACCATCATTTAAGTTTACATCCAGCCTCAAAACCAGAAAATAAAAGGGTTAATAGCTTCCAACACACTATTTATTTTAGATAAACAGATACTATCTGAAGAGTAGTAGAAATTAGGAAAAATTGTCAGTTTCAGTCCATTTTGCCAATAAATCAGTGATATGTTACTATAAAGTCTGAATTCCTAACTATTGGCTTTTTCTTCTTCTTGTGCCATATCCATTATCGGATGTTGGCGATCCTATTTTTATCAGCAGCCGCATGAAAAAGTGCTGCTGAGTTTTGTCCAAACCAGTCCCTTGGATTTTGAAGCCTCGTTTGCCTTCAATCTTTCCCTGGAGGATTAAATGGAGTATGCCATATTTTTCTGGGTGTCACATCACATGTCCGAAATATTCCAACTTTCATTTTTTAATTGTTTTGATGATTTCCCTTGGCTTTCCCAGGCGGCTTATCACCTCCTCATTTCTGATCTTGTCAATCCAGCTTATACATAACAGCCGCCTGTAAATCCACATTTCAAATGCTTCTAGTCTCTTCAGGTGGCCTTCTGTCAGAGACGAACCCTCTACTCCATAGAGCAGGATAGAAAAAATATAACATCTGACATGCCTGATTTTCAATCTTAGGCTTATGTTGTGACTGCAGAAGACCTTTTTCATTTTTGAAGAAGGCTGTTCGAGCTTTCTCTATCCTTATCTTTACTTCAGTGGTCATGTCCCAGTTTTCATGTAAATTAGAACCGAGGTGCGTGATTCTTTCAACTTTTTCTAATGGTATTCCTTCCGAATTTATTGGTGGTAAAATAACGGGTTGTTTGCTGTATTAGCTTCTATGCTTCTTTAAAGAAGCATAAACCTTGCCATAGCAAACTAAATGTCTATAGAGATTCTCAGTCATCCAGATTGTGGTTGTCACAATGGAGCTTTTCCAAAAGGCAACTGGACTTTTTCCTTGAAGTCATTTCACTTCTCTTCTAAGAAGCTTCTTCAGTTCTCTTGTTTTAAAGCTGTGAACTTTTCCTACAAATCTGTAACTTGGAAATGAATAAACAGTCCTACTATTATCCAAATTCTTTTTACTTCATGCAAGAAGACCTGGAGCAAAATAGTATTAAATTCTCTTGGAAATTTAATACTTGCTACACACAACTAGATAGGCCAGGGTAGATTTGATTTAAATCAAGTTGATTTAAATCACGATTTAAATCATGATTTAAATAATTAGTAAAAAGGCTTGATTTAAATCAACTCAATTTAAATCATAATTTTTAAAGAGCAACTGTCATCTCTGTCCCACAGCGGCTCCTCCTCTGACCCGTGTTGCCTCACCGACAGTCCCATTCACTTTAATGGGATGGCTGGTGATGTGGCAGTGACACAACAAGGTGAGAGAGGTGGCGGGCAACAGGTGAGTGGATGCCCGCTAACAGGCGCTGCCATGATGGATCTGAAATGACAGGTGCTCTTTAAATGTAAGGACTCATTCTTGCTGGTAGTTAGAATCTTTAATATTATTATTTGCAAACAAAATGAAGGTTTCCTATTTAGAATAATAGGAAAGGTTAGTAAAACAGTGATATGAGAACCGATTTTAGGTTAATAGGTTAATCACAAATAGTTGGAGAACTACTCAAATTCTTTTATTTAAGTAAAACACTTAAGAGTCTGGTACAGATACATTTCTCTTCAAACAATCATACAGTTTGTAGTGTACATAGATTTGCAAAACAATGGGATAAAGGAATATTCCTGAACTTTGTTTTATGATTTATCTCATGGTTACTGTGAAATTGTGTGAATGCATCAATGCAGTGCATGTTATCTCAGCTTACAGAGCTTGGATTCATTGAATGAGTTTACCAAAATGTAAATATTGCAGAATATACAGCCTCATGCTACATAACTAAGCTCCATTTCATGCTGAATAAACTAAATTATTAATGTATCTTAAATAAAAAACGATATTTAGATAGATTTTTACTGCAAAAGCATTTTATTAAAATAAATTTGATAAAAATAAAAAAAATCCGATTTAAATTTTAAAAATCCGATTTTTTTATTTTTTAAAAAATCATCAATTATCCATCCTGAGATGGGCTAATCTTAAAATCAGTGAGATCAAAAGAAGAACGAATAAAATTCCCTCTCCCAATTAACTGATAGACTGTACCTGCTTTATCCTCCAAAATCCTCCTATGCTGCCATAGTGTCCTGCATGTGTATTCCTGGAAAGGAGGAGCTGAGAACTCTGGGAGTGTATCCAAGACTATGTATTTCCAGCAGGGTCATCCAAGGCACAGTCATTCCAGCTAAAGCAAGTAGGCACTATTTTGGACAGTGGCAATATAGGAATATGCTAGAGGCAGATGACAACTTTAGTGACAATGGCAAAGGTGTCAATTCATACTGCAGGAGAAGATAATGGCAAACTGTTCCTATATTTTTACCAGAAAAACCACATGGATAGAAAATGTAAAAGGTTTGATGATATAGGGCCAGATGATGGCCCCTTCACATTGGACGGCACTCGATATGCCACTAAGGAAGAACTGAGGATCTTCTGGGGTACTAATGGAAGTTATGGTGTTTAAAGCTTTTGGGACATCTACTTGCCCACGTTGTCATAAAGGAAAAGAAACAGGAACTCAAAACATAAGAAACATAAACATATAAAAGTTCAACACTTCAAAGATGAAATGAAACAACACAAACTGACTGTGTAGCCACCAATGAATTGAAGTAGACCAATGTTGTATTACAGGTGACCCCCCACTTAACAATGATAACTGGAACTGGAATTTCTGTCACTGAAAAACATAGTCATAAATGTCACATCATGAGACCACATTGCTTAGCGACAGAAATTCTAGCACTACTGCTTATCATTATGCAAATCACTGCAGATTATTAAACACAGGCATCATGTGGCCACCATTTGTGATCTCCTGCTGGCTTCCCCATTGATTTTTTTTATGTAGGAAGTCAGCAAAAGGATGTGACAAATGGTGATCAAATGACTGCAGGGATGCCGCAACTATCGTAAGTACAAGGATTGGTCATAAGTACCATTTGTTCAGGGCTGTCTTGAGTTTGAATGGTCAGTGAATGAATGGTTATTAAGTGAGACTTGAATCTTCTGGATCATCCATAAAGAATTGCACCTTTCTAATGTAGAGATTATTAGACTATTAATCTAAATCTGTTCTGAAATAAACATGGTTGAAAAACCAAAAGCTGAGCAAAATATAAGGTACTGAGCCCATATGCTATCATGATTAGCATATCCAGGGCTCTAATCCAGACTGAAATGGATCTAATGTCTTTCTCTCAAAGTGTCTAAATTTGTAAATAGCACACAGTACAGCTGTTACAGTTGTTATGGAGAGCTTGCACATTTGCTTCTTTTCAAAGCATCCAGCATGATTCATTTCTGGCAAGATATATTATTTTTAAACATGCCCATTCGGTTTCTTCAGTGAGTTATAAATAGTTAAGTAGACATGGTAGAACACAATTTGTTGGCTGCTTCAAGAACTTTGTCCATGACATAAAGTAGTATGAACTGAAATTGATTCCACATCAGTAGGCCAGATACAACTAGGGACTGCATTGGCAGTTGTTTCACAATGAGAATAAAGTTTAATTCTGAAAGCGCTTTGCAACCTTACTATAATGCAGTCTTATGGGTCTCTAGTATGTCTCAATTACACCTACAATAGCTCATTCACTTTATTTGCAGACTGAAAGACTCCTACCAATCCAGGATAATCTTGAAAAGTTAATGATGGTCAGACCTAATTAATACTTGAATGAACACCACCAAGATATTCAGAGCTTTGCTGAGAAACTGTCAAAACATCCTGGGGAAGAAGGCAGTGACAAGATGGTTGCCCCAAAAAGAACCTATATGGACATGTCAAGCCTGAATCTTCACTTCAGGGAGACTGCTTTATTTGAGAAAGGCACTACAGTAATTAAATAAAACTACTTGTTGACTATTACTGCCACAAAATAAGTCATTATATTTATAGCTTTTGCATTCAAGTTTCGTTCCTGCCTGTTTCATACCCAGTAGAATTAAGTATGGGAGCTAATTTTGTCCCAGAGAGCTGAGTGATAAACAACATCCTAAGTATCTAAATGCATTTCTGAGTACTAGATCAATTTTTTGATCTCAAATACTTCAGGCAAACCGCACTTCAGGTTCACATTCCATTCCTCACCCGTCTTTCTTCTGCTTAGTGCAGACAAAACAAAATGCATTTAAGCAAAAGTGGAAGCAAAACTTTAAAAAAATTCTCCCCAATGCATGAGAGGAAGGGGAAACATAAACAGCTTGTCTAAACTTAAGTTGTATTAAACAGTGCAATTCTATAATAAATAAAAAGATGCTCTACTTAAAACTCTTATGTACTATTTATTTACAAAATCTATGTGTTACCCATCTTCAGCAATTAACTCTGGGCAGCACACAATATAAAACCATAAAACCTAAGTACAAATACAAACATAATAAATTCAAAACATAAAAGTCAAAGCACCTCACATATCTTCAATCACAGACTCACCTGTATCAGGTTCCACTGATAATCCGGATCTAGTGTATACCACAACAGAGAAGCCATGCCTCCTGGGTTTCACAAGATGGCACAGTTTCTCTGTGGGTATCAAGTGCATAACCACACTGCTGAATCTATTGGGATAGGCAGAAACAACAGAGTAACCTGGTAACCTCAAGTAACCTGGTGCTGTGCAGTGTGGACCTTTGAGTAACATTAAAATAAGCTTCTATCATATGAAAAGTAATAACAAAATTTGGAGTCCACTCAGAAGGTTACTGGCACACAGGAGAAGTATTATATGGGTGAATTCTGGTTCATCCAATACTGCACACACTGCTGCATATTCTGGACTGAGGTTTCTGCGTGTTTTTCAAGTGCCCTGTAATAATCCAGAGGGGAAGTGCCTAAGGAATAAGTGAGCTGAACCTCCAGATCCAGACTGTTTTCCTCTACCAAACCTATGCCTTTTGCAATTCTTGACCATTCTAACTTTTATAAATAACTCCTTATGTGTTTGCAAACAAAAGCTAGGCTACTAGGTTTTGCTATATTTGCACTACATTTTTGAAAAATATTTGCAGTCTTTTTATTATATAGTATTGTAGCTTTAAACAATGTAGGAGGGGAAGCATGTTAGTGTATATGAGGGCAAAAAAAAATCAGGAGGAGAATGAAGTGAATTACAGCTCATGAAAAATAAAATATGTTAGTTGGAAAAGTGCTACCAAACTCCTGATATGGCTTTAAACAAGAGTTCCACAACCCACCTACTCCCCAGCAATAGAAAGATAATGCAAATAGATTTTTAGCCCCACAGAAGTAAATCACAAACCTTTTACTTATAAAACTATACACTGCTCCTTAACAGCAATTTTTCTATTCAGACCAAACCAGCTATCAGCTTTTCCCTTAAAGAAAGATTTATAGTTCCTAAAGAATTTTATGTAACTACAATGCTGAATCAAGATTTGAGGAAGTTTTATATAGCTCTTAGAACAGGGCTTTTCAACCTTTTCATCCATTTTACCACTTTTAGGATATGGCAACATCCGAGTACCATCAGTCGCCTAGCAAGGTGTCAAAAACTTGACCAAAAAGAGAGGAAAAAAGTGATAAAGTACAGGTAGTCCTCAACTTACAACAGTTCGCTTAGTGACTATTCGAAGTTACAATGGCACTGAAAAAGTGCCCCCCAAGCCACAGCCGAGCAAGACACCTGCCTGCCCATCCGGTGGCGTTCTTCCTCCTGTCTGAGGTTTTCATTGTTGTGAGCATTTCTGTTGAGGATTGGCAGCGGGGGTGGGGTGGAGGGTGTTTGGTTTTTATTCCTCCCGTCTGCTGGGTGTTTGCAGCAGGTTTTGGTCACTTCACATGACCCTGGGACACTGACTGTCATAAATATGAATCCGTTGCCAAGCATCTGAATGTAAATCACAAGACCCTGGAGATGCTGCAACATTCCAGCTGATTGGCGCTTCTTCTGGGCTCAGCAGAAGCGCCAAGATTAGTGCTGCTTTCCAGCTGACTGGTGCTTCTTCAGGGCTCAGCAGAAGCACCAGGATCAGCGCCGAGCTCCAGCTGGAGCCTGGCGCTGATCCTGGAGCTTCCACTGAGCCCTGACAGCCCTGAAGAAGCGCCAATCAGCTGGAAAACGGCACTGATCGTGGCGCTTCCGCTGAGCCCTGACAGCCCTGCAGCTCCAGCCATCTCTCGCTCAGGCTTGTGCGGTGCTGCCACAGGTTCAGCTCATTCCCCTCCCCCGCTACCACTTTTCTAGGATGGTCGCATACCACCTGCCAGGTGCCAATGTACCACAGGTGGTACCCGTACCACTGGTTGAAAAGCCCTGTCTTAGAAAACACCTAAATTTAGACAAAATTGATAACAATTATCAGCAGTTTGCCAATAAGAGAACACATTTTAATCTGTGAATAGCTGGCATATATCAAATACAGTTTCTTCTGCTATCCATAACTTTCTCTAAACCATTTCACTTACAATTTTAATCACCAAAAAAAATTCCTCTTCTGGAATCCTTGCATAGTTCATAGAACATAACCTTAAATAAGATCAATTAACATTTACTAATATTATGAACTATTTATATTGTTCAGCCAATTCTTCAGATTTAATATAGAACAACAAAGGACAAATATATTGGTTTTACTATTTTTATTAGTTACAGTGATAAGTATAATGCTAACTGAATTGGATCCATTTATCCATTTTATATTATTGTAAAATGGCAACTTAATAGATTTTTTGGGGGAGAAAGGATGCCTATTAAATCTAAATGTCCATTAAATCCAAATGTAAGATAACTTATGTAATTTATATCATTTATATAACATGTTTTCATATCTATTGAAATGTCACTTCCATAATTATGGAATTATACTGATTACATAAACTGATGCAAATGGAAATGAACATATTGTCCTGGCAGACTATGGAAACAAACTTGTTATTTACAAGTGAAGCTGCATCACAACTTTGGTCTGTTGAATTTGAAATCAGATAAAAGTGGTATGTTAAATCAAGGTTTCACTGAAGCAGAAGTTCCATTTATAGAATGTAATTTTTCCACTTCCAACATAAATACACAAATTTCATTCTTAAAAAAATTGTGCTTGAATTTATTTTGAGAAAATAATTCACAATATTATATTCTTCCAACTGTAATATTAGTCTATGGTAACAAAAAACAAAACAAAACAAAACAAAAAACAAAACAAAACAAAAAACAAAAACAGAAGGAACCTTTAGTACTTTTTCTGACTAACAACTAATTCTGTTAAAGGAAGTATTAAACTGTTACAGTAAAATATGAATAATTGGATTATAAACACAAAAAAGCAAAATATGTATTATTTTTATATTCGGTGCTGTATGGAATAATATAATATAATCCTCCCTCTTTGTGCATTTTTATTCAGTGATAGATTCAAAACTGCACCATGTCAAACATGTAAATGAAGAAGTAAATTCTATTCCAGAATAAAGAAGTATTGTTTACTATCATAAATTAGTATATTCCAAAAACAATTTCTGCAAAATTCTTTTTAAAATATTAGCCAAATGAAGATGCTATTTATATAATATCTGTTCTTTTTCAAAAGTATCAACTTTATCTTTTTATGGATCAAATTGCAGTATACTCCAATGAAGCTTCTGGTAAAATGGCTATCTAGTACATTTTTAAAAGTTCTAACAAATCATTTTGAGATTGCAAGAATACATATTGCAAAAAGAATTCCAATAAATTTCCTCAAATAATTTCTCACCCACCTGTGTTTGTTAAAGGGGAAGAAAAGTGATCAGAATGTTATAATAGCAAGAAGCAAAAGAGAATCAGAAAATTCTGATTTTATTTCCCAAGCATACTTCTATTATAATGTCCTGGTCTTGTGATATTACAAGCATATGATCTAAACAGTTTTATGTAGCCAAACATGTATGCAGAATGTTATTTCTAGTTATTCATCATCTATCATTGGAGCTTTGGGGATCCATTAACTCCATACTAGATATCTGAATTGTTTATTTTCTGTGTTTAATTCTTATCACAATTTTAAATGCTAGTTCTTGAAATTCAGCAGTTCATGAAAGAGAATAGTTATCCCTTCCATTCCATAATAAAATCTGTAGTCAGCTGGAAATAATGTCTGATGTCTTTTGCACATCAATGTGCCAAATGCACAATACATTTACACCAAGTGCATTTATTTTAAAGGCAAAATGTGTGATAGCATTTCTATTCTTCATCATTTGAAAACCTCATACCACTAAGTTATGTGAAGAATCCTATATAATTACATTATGACTGGACAGAAAAAATAGTTTCCTAAAATGTCTTATTCTTTAATTGGTTTCAATATTTCATGTCTAAAAAACAAATTATATCAGAACATTGGGTGCATATAGATCTACTCCCATGTAGATAGTGTCATACTTCTTTAAACTTTTTTTTCAAGTATTAATGTATCATATTGAGGGGAAAAAATTCTGGTCAGTTTTCCTAGGGTAATCGACTGAACAAACAAGAACAGGAGAGGGGAGAGAGGAAAAAAAACAGGGATCATATAAAACTTAATACCAAATAATTCCACAATATATACATTATAATTAGTAAACAACTGGTATATATTTCACTATGAAGTATATAACAATGCTTGGAACTTTTTAGTTTAGAAATAAGGCAAATGGAATGAGGGAATAGAGGTGGGATGCATGATCTATGCATAAAAATTATATGTGATATGGAAAACATATACAGAGAAAATATTGCAAACTAAACTGTGGACATAAAGATCAGATAAAAAGAAGGGCATATTTCAATTGTGGAATTTATCTCAAATGAAGTTACATTCTTCTATTTGTATCAGAAAGGGATTAGATAATTTCATGGAGCGCGGGTTCTGCTTCTGACATTTCCAAGCATTTGGTCAGTTACTGAGGAAATACTCTGTTGTACTTGCATATCTTTGACTTGATAAAGCAGAGTTCATCTTACACTAATAAAATATTTTTTAAAGAATCTTAAGTCTTAAAGAGCCAATAATAACCTTTTCGGAAATATAAGTGATGATGCTATGAGTTTTCTATCCCTGTGGGGGAGGGGGAAAACATCTACTCTGAGAATTAGGTATATCAAACAAAAGGCTTATAATATTCTCTTTCAGTTTGAGGTTATCTACATTGACAAAGAATTTTGTTATCTTAAGTGTTTCATGCAGAGACATAAAATATGAAATCAGATGAATTGTAAAAACTGGCAAACTACCTATTCAACATAATTATTGTTCTTCTATAATGCAGCATAAGTATCTATTAAAAGGTCAAGAAAATGTAAGAAAAAACATCCTATAGTCCAGACATGTCAAACAGAAAGCCTGCGGACCGGATCCGGGCCCAGATTTGGCCCCCCCGGGGCTGTCCCAGAAATGGCAAGGGACCGGCCCCCAGTGCCCCAGCCCTGGCCCACCACAATCTGGCTGGGCGCCCTCCAGGCGCACGCACAGGAAACCGCGAGCACTCAAGGGCTGGTGGTGTGCAACAGCAGTTGCAGCTCATTTGCCTCAGCCTGCCCCGCCCCTCCCAGCCTATCCCTGTCAT